ATGCACATTGGGACAGGGTACAACAAACACAAACACTCTTTGTGAAGTCGAGGTGGTGTCATCTAAATAAATAGACATATGTTCTGAATTTCCACATTTATACCTAGTTCTTTTCTTGGTTATGACTCCAGCACAGCATTTTCCCTCTCTCTACTCTAACTTTCAGCCCTGTGATTTATGATGATGATTTAAAGTTTTCTATAACAATATAAATAATATAATTTGTTATTTATTATAAACTCTCTTACCTCTAACTGTAATTTGAAGATGATCACAGTAAGCTGTCGCCTTGAATGGTTCACTCTCTACTCTGAAGAAGTATGTGTCTGTGTACTTGGTGGATAAATCAGAAAACAGAGTGGTGCAGTCTCTCTGACTCAGGTTCCCAGTAATTTTCATTGGATAGATGCTAACTGCTCCACTACTGTTGTAGATCACATTGTTTGGATCTATTAAAAGTCTACTGTCACTTTTAATCCACACTCCAGCAACTGCTCTTCTCCCATTAAAAGCCTTTTCTGGTTTAGCTCTAAAGTTACATGGGATTTGGAGACAAGATCCACTCAGTGCTTCCATCTGCTCTGGTGTAGTGACGAGTAAAGCTGAATCCTCAGGACAAGCAGCCAGAGCGCCTGTGAATTTAGGAATTTAGTGTCTAGATTAAAATAATGTGGAAAATATTAGCATGCATGCAGATGTTCAAATGTTGGAGTAATGTCTCTGAAATAAAAACAACTCACCTGAAAGAATGAAGATACTCAGTAACATGTTGGTTCTCAACATGTTCACACACAGTGCTGCCATGACACTCATCATCTGACGTTGCAAACACAACTCAGTCAACAGGTCGACAAATTCCTAGATTTACATATTTTATACATAGTGATATATTCAGGCATTTATATTTATCCACAGGATGAATATCATTGTCACATATAATATGATAATGTGTAAAATCTACTTACCCTGAAAGTCAAACCAACAAGGATCTCTTTTTTGGCTTAAAATGATAAGAAGTAAAAGTATCATACACGCACTTATACACACACTCCACCTATCAAAAAGAGAAACAATAAGGTCTTGTAATATTTCTGCAAATGTGTAGCAACTTTGGGATTTCAGCTGCCAAAGGGAAATAATGAAAGAAAGAATTTCCCTTTGTAAAATAAAAACCCATTTTGGGACTCAGTATGATGACCTGAAAGAATGTAATTCTGCATTAAAGCAATCAAAAAATCACAAAGCAGTCTTATAAGCTGTGCCTTCTTTATGTAGGGCACAATACATACATTTAAAAAAACAACAACTTTGTTTAAGCTGCACACCAACATAAGCAACCAGTGCATTATTAGCTAACCAGACAATTTCATCTTCCTGTCCTCGTGGTTTTCATTGTTTGTCATACAGTCACTGTGTCACCACAGTCAGTTTCTGCGTTGTTCTGATAAGAGCACAGCTACAAGTGCTAGAAATATCTTGCAATATGTCAACTCGTGTTTTTAGTCATTTATTTATGTTTCTTCTTTAAAATCAGTTCCAAAGATGCACAGTTTTTGCAGCTACATGTTAGCCTGATTGGTCAGTCTACATCACGCATGCCCTGAGATGAAGATCCATTTCATCTCATTAAAGAATGTTTTTTAGTGTCTCATTATGAAAGTCTGTGTAAAAATAAATGGTGAGGCCTTGTTTGGAGCAACAACACCAAATTATTTTTTAAAACTGTAGGAATCTAGGATACTAATACACACATGCCCTTTCTCTGTGGGCTGGAACATAAAGGTGGATTTCTGTGCCTAGACTTCAAAATCAACTTGCAGCTGATCCCACAAATGTGGAGCAGTGACTGCATAAGCTCTGATATCTTTTAGTTTGAGGCGTGACCCCAGGACATGTAAAGAATGCAAATGAATGAGACTGGTGCTATGCAGATGGGTCCTGACCATCAAGAGCCTTAGAAACACTAAATACAATCTTAAACTGACTTCTAAAATGGAGAGCAGTGAGGCCAGGGCTGGAATGGTATTTATATTTTTTTGGAGTCAATTGACAGTGTTGCTGCTGAATTTCAAACTATCTCCAACGATGTCAAAAGAGATTGGAGGAGACTTGGGAGTTACAGTTATCCAGATGCAATAAAGTTTTGGACTTTTCCCTATCTTTAGCTATCTTCAACAACAGAACAGATTTGTCTGTCAAAGGAAAGTTTAGAGTCAAGAATAACACATGTGTGTCTTGAACAGCAGCTGTGGGTGCAAATTGTGTTGTTGCTGTAGTTATGCTGCTCAGGCAGTGTGCAGGCTGCAGCCTTGGACTTAACTTTGAGTTCACAATCAGTTCCTGTGTAAGACGGTAGTTATAAATTTAAGGAAGCTGATGTCAAAGACTGTTGGGAACTTGTGCAACACTTATTACTGCTAAGGAAATGAGAGCTTCTGACGTCATGGGTACACTTTTCTTCACAGCATTGCAGCTTTTTATAGATTTATTGAATAAATGTTTTTGAAATCATATTTTCTTTTAAGCATTTTTCTATGTGTACCACCTTATTAATTAGTATTGTTTTGAAGATGATCAAATGTTTACTTGTCTGTGTGTCAAAAAAGTCAGTCGTGTTTGCAGGGTTTTCTTTTTTCATCGCAATAACAAGCCATGAAATTTTGTCCATAATATTTAAGATGATAAAACTTCATTAACTGTAAAATTGAATCTGCTGCATGAAACGACATATTGGCAGTGTAGTATACAAGCTTCATCTCACTGTGGCTCAGATGGCCACAAAATGAAATCTCACTTTTTCATATCTGCACTTTCATCAAGCTCAAACAAACCATTAAACCCTGCAGGGTTAAGCACAAAGGAAGTGGCACTGTTTGACACACATTTTAGTTGTCCTGCCATGACTGTGGGATTCTCAGGGGGAACTTGCAGCACACGCATTGTGTGTTTCTTGCTGTAATGTTGTTCTCCTTTTAACATTCTGTTTGTTTTATGTGAATTTACGCATTCTTTAACCTAATATATAAATATATAAGATTTCCTGTCAACACATGTGTGTGCAAGTGCAATCAACCCTTTTCTATTTAGAGCAGGAACCCAAATGCCCTGCAGAGAAATTGCACTCAGCATGGTGTAGATATATAGTTTTTACACATGATAAGTATTTCAGCTGTAGGCATGAAGCAAGGCTTTATGCATATATGCATAGAAGTAGAGTATATAAGGCAAAAGCAGACTTTGTACAATTCTAAGGAGCTTGAAAGTCAATATTTGTTATGATCACTGTTAATCCTGAACTTAGGACTGTGTAATACTGCAAATTTCAATATTGATCTGATACCAAGCAGAGGTCCAGTATTGCCAATACCATTACTTTTAACTTATAAAGACATCTTATGTGTGTCATGATTTCTGAAATAAATTGTCATCAATTTGCCAAATTCTGGACACATTTTAATCACCACTAAATCACTGAGAACTCCATAATATTTCACAATAAAACTAACCTTTCTTGCTTTTTTAAGAGTCCTGGAATGTAAATATGTACTTTGGGCCAGCTGCAGTGGTTTTAAAGTGTTATATAACATAAATTGACCAGCCAAGCAAAAAGCAGGGATAGCGCAGTAGGGTAGAGTGGTCGCCCCATAATCGGAAGGTCGGGGGTTAGAATCCACTGAACGGCTACCCTTGTTAGGGTGTCTGGGCCGTTGACCCAGTGTTTTGTCTTTTATTGGTTCTTTGATTTTGTTCATTTCATTATTCTAGCTTTGCCTTATGGGTTATAGGTTTAATCTTAGTTTAGGTTTTGTTAGTGTTCAGGGCCCTGTTTCAGGAAGCCGGTTTAGTGGAAAAACTGAGTAAGTATACCCTGAGTTAACGAAAACTCTGGGTTTTCGGTTTCACAAAGCGAGTTCAGCTGAAGCCTGAGTGAGTCACTATGACGACACACGCCGTGAAGCTAACCTGCCCCCTAGCAGGTTTACTACAACTAACCCTGACTGTCTCCGCCCCTTTGTCGGAAACCTGACAGTAGGAAGTGTCAGACATGGCGTGCTCCTTCCTTGAAGAGCCAGTAGATCGTGAAGCCCAAATTCTCCGCAGAGCTCTCCGCCGGGAGAGAGTGATCAGAGCGCGTTTGGACATTTTATCATTTCCTGATGATTTTCTGTGCGAACGTTACCGTTTCTCAGCACAATCTATAAGTTATTTGAATAACATCCTCAGGCCATATATTACGCATGTGACACATCGCGGACATGCTCTCAGTTCATTACATATTATTTGTATTGCACTTCGGTTTTTTGCAAACGGGAGCTTTCTGTATAATATTGGTGACGCTGAGCACGTTTCCAAGGCTACCGTCTGTCGGGCAGTCAGGAATGTTACAGTTGCACTGAAACGTCTCCTGTACTCGTTTGTGGTGTTCCCCGGTCATAGACCCACAAGATTTATCAAAGAGGGATGCCACAAAATTGCAGGTACAGGATGAACAAAACTTAATTCATGATGTGGTGATACTTGAACTACTACTTAAATTTTACATTTATTTTCAGGGTTCCCAGGCGTGATTGGCTGTACAGATGGCACTCACATTCCAATCATTGCTCCTTCAGTAAATGAAGGAGACTATGTGAACAGGAAGTCTTTCCACAGCATTAATGTACAGGTACATAGTTCCCTGTAGCATTTCAAACTAACAATTATTTCATTATAGTAATGGATGCTAATTTGTGTTCTCTGCACTGTGAAGATCATATGTGATGCTGCCAACATTATCACAAATGTGGAAGCCAAGTGGCCAGGCTCTGTCCATGACTCACAAATATTCCGTGAATGTACACTGAGCACAAAATTTGGACATGGTGAGTTGAGAATACTTTAAAATATATAAAGACCAATTGCTTCAGGGACATTTGAACTGAAGTGTATCCTTCTGTCTTAGGAGAGTTCACTGGCTACTTGCTTGGTGATAGGGGGTATCCATGTTTACCCTATTTGCTTACCCCTTACCCTGACCCTGAACCGGGCCCACAGCAGCGATATAATCTGGCTAATTGCAGGACAAGAGCCAGAATTGAAATGACTATCGGAATGCTTAAGGCCCGGTTCCAGTGCCTGCAAAGACTCAGGGTCACCCCAGAAAGGGCATGTGACATTATTGTGGCATGTGTGATTCTTCACAACATTGCCACAATTAGAGGAGAACACTGTCCTTCTGAACCAAACATCAGCAGTGATCCAAACCATGAACATCCTGACCCTCCCACGGACATACAAGATGGAAGCGCAGTCAGAGACACCATATGTCACAATCATTTCTTTTGACCCATCACCTCAACATGTTGAAAGAAGAATAAACAGATTTTATGTTCAACTGGCTTTATTGGTCACCTGTGTTTCCTGTACACAAAGTATTAAAAGATGTAAACCTCATAAAGTGTCTCTGTTGCTTCCTCCTCTGTAACAGCTGTCAATGTTTCTTCATTATTTTCCTGTAGTAAAGAAATAAACAACATTGCTGTTCTACTGTAAACTCATATAATCTGTGGAGTATTACTCACAACTGCATGTTGGTCTGGCTCAACAGGAGGCTGCACCAGATGCAGTACACCACCACCATCAACTGATAGAATATGAGGTTTATACAGGTCACTTATAACTTACAAGGGACCAAATGGCAATTAACAAACATACCAATCACCTTACACTTCATTGTCATTATGCTCTCAAAGACAACCAAGACTGAGGGAAGGCAAAATCAGTAGGAAAATACTTCACTACAAAATAATCCATTATGGTAAAGAGTTTATCAAATGAATGAGAGCACTGCAAAGGTGACTGTGAAGAAAGGATGTATGCACATCATGTATTATTTTGAATTTACCCCCTATGTAGGCACTTGTGTCTTGCGGGGTTATTGACTCAGAGGATGTCCCCGCAGAGATGCCTTCGGCCACAGGGCGCCCACTGTTTTGGCTGAGGGCCAACTGCTCAGCCTCTGTGAGTGGTGGTGGTGGAGGACCCCCACCTGTTTTTCGGGCCTCCGCTTTTTTTCTGTTGGCTATAACGGGCCACATTTGAGCATACAGAGTAAGCAAATATGTACTTGTAATGTGCTCAGATAATTTCAATAAGTGCTTACAGAAAGAAAATTAATGTAGCCTCTAACTGCAATTGATTTACATAGGACAAACAGACCAAGCACTATGGCTCATAATACAATTACACCTTACCTGTTTGGACTATATTTTTATATTTCATTTTTACTTGCTGCCAGGCACGTTTGGGGCCTGTTGGGTTGCACCTGCGCTCACATCACATCACAAAATAAAATGTATAAAATAACAAATAAAATAACATATGATAAAATAACGTGTTAAATGGGTGGAAATCCCTAGATCAATGTTTAAATTAACACTCACGCATTGACTCTGTCGGCTATGTTTTGCCATGCATGCTCCCTGTCTTTTGCAGCTATGGCTAACTTTACTTTTTTCCGCGGAATTTGCATGTTATCGGCATATGCTGCCATCAGAATTTCGGCCTCAAGCGCTGTAAAATACATTGACCGCGCCTTCTTTCCCTCCGTCTCCATGGTGACTCGCTTAATCTGTGCTCCGCTTATCAGGGCTTTATGTATCCTCGTGCGCGCGCTTAACTTGGGGTTAAAGCAACTCCGCGTTGACTGAACTAACTTGTTATCAGCCTTTCTGAAACCGAATATTCCGAGTTGGACAGTTCGGGGTTACTCAACCCTGAGTATCGTTTTTCACTCTGAGTTTTCTAAACCGGCTTCCTGAAACAGGGCCCTGGTGTTCTGTTCTGTTCTATAGTCGCTGTATCCCTGTGTCAAGTCTGCGCCTCTGTGTTGTGTTTCCTGTTTTACTTTGAAGGTCCATGTTAATGTATCTGGTTTTGCTGATTTGCCCCAGCTGTGTTTCCCTCCTGTTACCCATTCCCTGATTGCTCCCTCTGTGTATTTAAGCCCTGTGTTTCTCTGTGTCTGTGCTGTGTGTTCTGTCTGTCTGCCTGAGTTTATTTTTGGATTCTCAGTTTTGTAACTTTTTTTTAGTTCAGCATTAAAGCTGTTTCGAGTTCATGTTTTGCCTCCGAGTGTCTGCACTTTGGGTCCACCATTCCTGCCTGCACACAGCCCTCACATGACAACCCTGAGGTATCCCTGAGCAAGGTACCGTCCCTACACACTGCTCCCTGGTGCGCCTGCTTAGTGGCTGCCCACTGCTTCACTGAGTGAATGGGTCAAATGCAGAGGAGTAATTTCCCCATGGGGATCAGTATTATTATTAAGTTCAGAAATTGTTCATGTTTGAGGAATGTTTTTTCATTTCCAATAAAACAAAGCTTTACAGCTCTTCTCAGTGCCTCCGAGTCACATAACTGCAGCACAACTAAACATAGCAGTGCAATATTGATATTTGGATCAATCGGCCCATCAGTACAGCAGCTTTCCTGACATTTCTTTAAGTAGTCTTTAGGAATAGTTCTCCAGGCTTCTTCAAGCACATTTGAAGCTCTTCTTTGGATGTTGGCTGTTCTCTGTCCAATTGATCCCACAGTTATGTTGAACTTCAGAGAGGCCAATTGAAGCAATTTGAGTTAAAAAAAAAGAAATCATGGAATATATTTCTCCATGACAACAACATCTTCCACTCCATGCAGGAGACTCTGAAGGCACTGAGCAGCTCCTTCAGGGGCAGGCTGCAGCACCCACGATGTGGGACAGAGCGATGCCACAGGACTTTCCTTCTAACTGCTGTCAGACTCCACAACAAAGACTTTGCAGATGACCACACACACGGACAAACACAATTCCAATACACTATGCCTTTGCTTAGTCTCTCTTATGTGCAAT